AGTTACAGGTCTGTGAAAGCCAGAAATCTTGCTTGTTTGTAGGTGACCAAATACTTATTTTCCACCATAATTAGCAAATAAATTCATTAAAAATCCTACAATGTGATTTTCGGGATTTTTTTTTCTCAATTTGTCTGTCATAGTTGACGTGTACCTATGATGAAAATTATAGGCCTCTCTCATCTTTTTAAGTGGGAGAACTTGCACAATTGGTGGCTGACTAAATACTTTTTTTCCCCACTGTACTAGGCGGTGTCAGAGGAAGGCCCAAAAAATTGTCAAAGACTCCAGTCACCCAAGTCATAGACTGTTCTCTCTGCTACCGCACGGCAAGCGGTACCGGAGCGCCAAGTCTAGGACCAAAAGGCTCCTTAACAGCTTCTACCCCCAAGCCATAAGACTGCTGAACAATTAATCAAATGGCCACCCAGACTATTTACATTGAACCCCCCCCACATATTTACATTGACACCCCTCCCCCCTCCCTTTGTTTTTACACTGCTGCTACTCGCTGTTTATTATCTATGCATAGTCACTTTACAAATTACCTCGACTAACCTGTACCCCCGCACATTGACTCGGTACCGGTACCACCTGTATATAGCCTCATTATTGTTATGTAATTTTCTTGTGTTACTTTTTTATTTGATTTGATTTTTTTTAACTTTAGTTAATTTTACTTTAATATTTTCTTAACTATATTTGTTGAACTGCATTGTTGGTTAAGGGCTTGTAAGTAAGCATTTCACAGTTAGGTCTACACTTATAAATGTAAATGTAAATTGTATTCGGTGCATGTGACAAATAAAATGTGATATTGCTACACATAATCTCACCTCCCGTCTGCAGCAAAGCTGGTGGACCTGCTGTGGGGAGATGAGAAGAAGGAGTCTCAATCATGAAGGCACTCAGAGTACTGGAGACCTGTAGCAGATAAAATATAAAACAATCAGCTAACGTCAGTCATTATCAGAGTAGTAGAGGTGCTAGGCAGCATGTAACGACACACAGGGGCTTCATTTCTTCTGCTATATTTTTCATTCAAGAGTTTATCACTCCATATAAAGACTATAAAAAGGTTAAACCAAAGAGAAAAAAAGGTTAAACCACACTCTTCAATTAAACCACTGGTACATCAATTAAACATGAATATTGTCACCCTCACTGAAGAAATTAGCCATTTGCTTCCACATAAACAAGTGCTTTAAACACAAATTGATAATGCAGCTACTTCAATAGGTAACTATTTGTTAATCATGGTTTGACTCTTAATTACCTTGGTTAATTGTAGCCCCAGGATGTCCACTGATATTAAGGTTTAATTCCAATCTTTACTTCAACCTCTTAAGGATCGGACCCTTTTTTTCAATTTTCGCCTAAAATGACATACCCAAATCTAACTGCCTGTAGCTCAGGACCTGAAGCAAGGATATGCATATTCTTGATACCATTTGAAAGGAAACACTTTGAAGTTTGTGGAAATGTGAAAATAATGTAGGAGAATATGATACATTAGCTCTGGTAAAAGATAATACAAACAAAAAAACATGTGTTTTCTACTTTTATTTTTGTTCCATGATCTTTGAAATGCAAGAGAAAGGCCACAATATAATATTGCAGTTTAGGCACAATTTAGATGTTGTCCAGTAGATGGCAGCGGTGTGTGTTTAAAGTTTCAGATTGTTCCAGTGAAGCATTGCAATACTGGACTATTTTGTATCAAGTCTGCCCAAATGTGCCGAATTGGTCAATTGATACATTTTCAAGTACATAACTATAGAGAACATACAAAAATGATATGTTAATACAACATGTAAGTTTACACACTCCCAGGAATGTCATACATGATGGATCATTAGCTTATACACTAACTTTCACACATCTAGATGGCCGGGCGGGGTGGGTGTGGAGCCAGAGACAGCAAGGGTTCAAACTGTAGAACCCAGTTCCTACATTTGAATATAAAAATGGATTTTATCAAACAAAACTATGCTACATTTTATCTCTGTGACCCTTAGGATGACAAATCAGAGCAAGATTACTGAATGTAAGTACATTATTTACCTTCAGAGGTGAATGTATCAAACCAGTTGCAGTGATAAGTTTTTTGTTGTTGTACTCTTGCCTCAAACAATAGCATGGTATGTTTTCACTGTAATAGCTACTGTAAATTGGACAGTGCAGTTAGATTTACAAGAATGTAAGCTTTCTGTCCATATAAGATATGTCTATGTCCTGGAAAGTTTGCTGTTACTTACAACATTCATGCTAATCACATTAGTGCACGTTAGCTCAACCGTCCCTTATACGGGACACCGATCCCGTGGATGTTTATGACATGACAGCTTTGACTTACACCTCAGGACTGGATGTTCTTTAAATTAACAATCAAACAGAAACATGAGGAGCCAGTGAAAGGATTTCCAGTTGTTCTCAATCCATTCCCAGGGGCTTTGGATTTATTGAGCTTGATCATAGCAATACCCTATATAAGATATGCAAATCCTTCAATCGTGATACATTTACAATGTTTGTAGTAAAAAATGCAAACTATTATACTGACAATACATATAGAGAGGCTTAAAGAAAGAGAGTGAAAGAAGTGCTGGTGGAATAAACTGCAAAAAGCTTAACATACATACAGTGCCTTCAGAATGTATTCAGACCCCTTGACTTTTTCCACTTTGTTACGTTACAGCGTTATTCTAAAATGGATTAAATAAATACAAATCCTCAGCAATCTACACACAATACCCCATAATGACAAAGCGAAAACCGATTTTTAGATATTTTTGCAAATGTATTAAAATAAAAAACGGAAATACCTTATTTACATAAGTATTCAGACCCTTTGCTATGAGACTCTGAATTGAGCTCAGGTGCATCCTGTTTCCATTGATCATCCTTGATTGGAGTCAACCTGTGGTAAATTCATTTGATTGCATGATTTGGGAAGGCACACACCTGTCTAAATAAGGTCCCACAGTTGACAGTGCATGTCAGTGCAAAAACGAAGCCATGAGGTCGAAGGAATTGTCCGTAGAGCTCCGATCTGGGGAAGGATACTGAAATATTTCTGCAGCATTGAAGGTCCCCAAGAACACAGTGGCCTCAATCATTCTTAAATGGAAGAAGTTTGGAACCACCAAGACTCTTCCTAGAGCTGGCCGCCCGGCCAAACTGAGCAATTGGGGGAGAAGGGCCTTGGTCAGAGAGGTGAACAAGAACCCGATGGTCACTCTGAGAGAGCTCTAGAGTTTGTCTGTGGAGATGGCAGAACCTTCCAGAAGGACAACCATCTCTGCAGCACTCCAAATCAAATCAAATCAAATGTTATTTGTCACATGCGCTTAATACAACAGGTGTAGACCTTACCATGAAATGCTTACTTACAGGCCCTTAACCAACAATGCAGTTCAAGAAATAGAGTTAAGAAAATATTTACTAAATCAACTAAAGCTAAAAATGTAATAAAAAAGTTACACAATAAAGTTACACAATATAATAACAATAACGAGGCTATATACAGGAGGCACAGGTTAGTCGAGGTCATTTGTACATGTAGGTAGGGGTAAAGTGACTATGCATAGATAATAAACAGCGAGTAGCAGCAGTGTAAAAACAAAGGGAGGGGGGAGGGGTGTCAATGTAAATATGTGTTTGGCCATTTGATTAATTGTTCAGCATTCTTATGGCATGGGGGTAGAAGCTGTTAAGGAGCCTTTTGGTCCTAGACTTGGCTAGGCTCCGGTGCCACTTGCCGTATGGTAGCAGAGAGAACAGTCTATGACTTGGGTGACTGGAGTCTTTGACAATTTTTTGGGCCTTCCTCTGACATCGCCTAGTATATAGGTCCTCCACCAATCAGGCCTTTATAGTAGAGTGGCCAGAAGGAAGCCACTCCTCAGTAAAAGGCACATGACAGCCTGCTTGGAGTTTGCCAAAAGGTACATAAAGACTCTCAGACCATGAGAAACAAGATTCTCTGGTCTGATGAAACCAAGATTGAACTCTTTGGCCTGAATGCGAAGCGTCACGTCTGGAGGAAACCTGGCACCATCTTTATGGTGAAGCATGGTGGTGGCAGCATCATGCTGTGGGGATGTTATTCAGCGGCAGGGACTGGGAGACTAGTCAGGATCGAGGGAAAGATGAACAGAGCAAAGTACAGAGAGATCCTTGATGAAAACCTGCTCCAGAGTGCTCAGGACCTCAGACTGGGGCGAAGGTTCACCTTCCAACAGGACAATGACCCTAAGCACACAGCCAAGACAACGCAGGAGTGGCTTCGGGACAAGTACCTGAATGTCCTTGAGTGGGCCAGCCAGAACCCGGACTTGAACCCGATCGAACCTGACAGAGCTTGAGAGGATCGGCAGAGAAGAATGGGAGAAACTCCCCAAATACAGGTGTGCCAAGCTTGTAGTGTCATACCCACGAAGACTCGAGTCTGTAATCACTGCCAAATGTGCTTCAACAGAGTAAAGTGTCTGAATACTTATGTAAATGTAATATTCCAGTTTTTTTATTTTTTTTTATTAGCAAATATTTCTAAAACTTGTTTTTGCTTTGTCATTATGGGGTATAGTATGTAGATTGATGAGGGGAAAAAAACAATTTAATAAATTTTTGAATAAGGCTGTAATGTAACAAAATTTGGAAAAATTCAAGGGGTCTGAATACTTTCCGAATGCACTGTATATATTGTATTGTGAAATGCGTTGTTTTACAGGGTCAGCCATAGTAGTACGGTGCCCCTTGGGCAAATTGGGGTTAAGTGCCTTGCTCAAGGGCACATCAACAGATTTTTACCTTGTGTGCTCGGGTATCCAAACCAGCAAACATTCTGGCCCAACGCTCTAACCACTAGGCTACCTGCTGCCCAGGCAATACTAAGGAATATTCTAGATGTAGCCTAGCCCAACAAACACAGTCAGACTAACTGTTTTTCAGACAGCGAGAAAAACACCAACCACTAATGGGATCTGTGGCTCTGTTTACTTCTTGAACTTGTAGAGACCCAGTTGGAGGTGGCTGAGTCGCTGCCTGACTTCAGACAGCTGACACATCCTGCGGTGGGTGTAAGGAGAGTGAGCACGGTTCTGGGAGGCTAAAGTGGGCTGCTCATATCCACTGGATGGACCATTCAGAGTCAGAGTCAGATTCTTCCCTTTCAGCATCCGTCCAGGGCTCCCCACAGCCCCTTGGTCTGGTCTTCGTCTGGCTGGGGTCTGTTTGGCTGGGGAGGGACTACAGCAGTCTCGGTCTGGCTGGGGACTGTTTGGCTGGTGAGGGACTACAGCAAGGTTGCAGGGAGAGGCAACAGGTTGGAGTGAAAAAAATTATAGGACCACAGCTGCAACTATATACTGCAATTGCACAACTAAGCTACTTTTTGATATTTCAATGTTGATTTCTTTATTTTGAATAAACATAGGAGCTTATGTTGATTCAAAAGCACAAGCCACAGAACTAAGCTGGATATGAACAAAATAGCTCCACCACAAATATGTGATTTCCTTCATTAAAACCGTGCAGCTTAAAATGTTACACTTCTGTACTTGGATATCGCCATGGTTGCAAAATGACTTCAATAATTCTAATGGTCACTAACATAATTCTGAGATGCAATATCTTAGTTCCTGCGGGCGATGCCCAGATAAATAAGTTTAAAAAATGTTAATTGCATTTGATAGCCAGCTTCAGACTAATATGATAATAACATTACATGGGTTGTAGAATAAAGATACTTTAAATGCTAATTGCGACATCCTGGCATATAAACAGATTTTTAGGAAATTTAATAAATAAATCCTGATTGAGATTGCCATTTGGAAGGGACCGATTTAATGAAATTAAAAGAAGTAGTTTTTTCTTTCTCTTTTTTTGCTGTGAACACAAAGCGGCCATTTTCGACAATGAGTCGTGCTTGTTTGGATGTGATTAGTGGCCTGGTGGTATTGGTAACGGGTGATAAAGCAGGGTGTTCTTGAAACAACAAAGCCGGAGCCACACATAGCTTATTAAACAAGAAACGAGACCCGTTCAAACGTATGCAAATCATGTTGAGAAAACCCATTTAAAAAGAATACCATGTCAAGTCCACACCATGAGACTTTACAAAGAGGGACATGCACACAAACACAGACAAAATAGGAGTGACAACAGACAGCTGTCTGAGAGACTAGAAATAAGAGAGGGAGAAGAGAATGACTACATTCTCCATCACAGGTCAGGACATTTTGAAAGGGTTGCTATAAAAGTGGAAAAGAGGAGCCTCAGTGCTTTCCTCAACCTGTCAGGGTAATGAGAATCCTGAGTATACATTAGCATTGTATGAAGAAAGGCTAAAGGCAGCAGCAGTGATTCTTCTCCCTATCACTTTACTCTGATCCACATCCCCTTGGGGGCCATGATGAACCCTCCCATTTTGTCAATAATTCCAATTAAAATAAATGTCTCTGGTAACAGCACCTGGAGAATGGCCCTAAATTTCACAACACTTACTTGATGATAGATCATTATTTTTTGAAAGGACTGTGAGGTTTGGAACAATAACAAATTCCTTTTTGGACTGACTGACGGGCTTTTAAATTCTCAGGGAAAATGGATGACTACCTTGCTCTCACTCTCCTGCTGTCTGTCTGCCAAATAGGCCTACCCCTTTAAAGCATAGCCATCAAAGAGCGGATTACACTGGCAAAATTGATAGAACACGTTATAAAACACAAATCCTGAAAGGAGCTAAACATTTTCCATTTGAAAAGTAAATGGACATGTTATGCAACTGAGCACAAGTTGCCCTTCAAATCCAAAGGACACGGTGAGAAGCCAGGTGAGAACAGGGGATATGAATGCTGATTGACTGCCTGTTCCTTTAAACAAGCATCCAGGAACCAGACCTGGATATCAATTCCACTGATCTGCTTCTATATAATTGCATTCACAAGGAGAGGATACCCTTAAATGTGCTGCTAAACTACTGGGATGTCAGTAGCCATGGCAACAAAAGAGGTATATGGTTGAATGCGACTGGAATGATAGACAATGCCATTCTGTAAAGTCCAGAAATAGTTATTCAATGTCTAACTATGGGGGTCACTGTGCTCTTATCAGTGGCAGGATCAACCTCTGCCTCATTTTGAACAGAAAGGAAATCAATTTAATTAATGTCAGTGCATTTTAACTGTTGAGGATACCAATGTTGATATGCTAGCATTATATCAGCCTGTTTTTGTATTTTTAAACTACGAATATTATCAAGGAGGTACAAATCTTAATGTAAAACTGTGATCGGAATTATAACAAGTAAAACAATTTAGATATCATATCTTGACTGTCTCTGGAGAACAAACTGGACGAGTTCTGTTCGAGACTATCCTATTAATGGGACCTGAAGAACTGTAATATCCTATGTTTCTCGGAGTCGTGGCTGAACAAGGACATGGATAATATAAAGTGCATTTGGAAAGTATTCAGACCCCTTGACTTTTTTCACATTTTGTTACGTTACAGCCTTATTCTAAAATTGATTAAATTCATTTTCCCCTCATCAATCTACACACAATACCCCATAATGACAAAGTGAAAACAGGTTTTTAGATATTTTTGAACTGAAATACCTTATTTACATAAGTATTCAGACCCTTTGCTATGAGACTCGAAATTGAGCTCAGGTGCATCCGGTTTCCATTGATCATCCTTGAGATGTTTCCACAACTTGATTGGAGTCCACCTGTGGTAATTCAATTGATTGGACATGATTTGGAAAGGCACACACCTGTTTATATAAGGTCCACAGTTGACAGTGCATGTCAGAGCAAATTAGGTCGAAGGAATTGTCCGTAGAGCTCCGAGACAGGAATGTGTCGAGGCACAGATCTGGGGAAGGGTACCAAAACATTTCTGCAGCATTGAAGTGCCCCAAGGACACAGTGGCCTCCATCATTCCTAAATGGAAGAAGTTTGGAACCACCAAGACTCTTCTTAGACCTGGCCGCCCGGCCAAACTGAGCAATTGGGGGAGAAGGGCCTTGGTCAGGGAGGTGACCAAGAACCCAATGATCACTCTGACAGAGCTCCAGAGTTCCTCTGTCGAGATGGGAGAACCTTCCAGAAGGACAACCATCTCTGCAGCACTCCACCAATCAGGCCTTTATGGTAGAGTGGCCAGACAGAAACCACACCTCAGTAAAAGGCACATGAAAGCCCGCTTGGAGTTTGCCAAAGGTCACCTAAAGGACTCTCAGAACATGAGAAACAAGATTCTCTGGTCTGATGAAACCAAGATTGAACTCTTTGGCCTGAATGCCAAGCGTCACATCTGGAGGAAACCTGGCACCATTCCTATGGTGAAGCATGGTGGTGGCTGCATCATGCTGTGGGGATGATTCTCAGCGGCAGGGACTGGGAGACTAGTCAGGATCGAGGGAAAGATGAACAGAGCAAAGTACAGAGAGATCCTTGATGAAAACCTGCTCCAGAGTGCTCAGGACCTCAGACTGGGGCGAAGGTTCACCTTCCAACAGGACAATGACCCTAAGCACACAGCCAAGACAACGCAGGAGTGGCTTCGGGACAAGTCTCTGAATGTCCTTGAGTGGCCCAGCCAGAGCCCGGACTTGAACCCGATCTAACATCTCTGGAGAAACCTGAAAATAGCTGTGCTGCGACGCTCCCCATCCAACCTGACAGAGCTTGAGAGGATCTGCAGAGAAGAATGGGAGAAACTCCCCAAACACAGGTGTGCCAAGCTTGTAGCGTCATACCCAAGAAGACTCGAGGCTGTAATCAATGCCAAAGGTGCTTCAACAAAGTACTGAGTAAAGGGTCTAAATACTTATGTAAATGTCATATTTCCGTTTTATATATATATATATATACAGTGAGGGAAAAAAGTATTTGATCCCCTGATGATTTTGTACGTTTGCCCACTGACAAAGACATGATCAGTCTATAATTTTAATGGTAGGTTTATTTGAACAGTGAGAGACAGAATAACAACAACAAAATTGCATTTTAATGAGGGAAATAAGTATTTGACCCCTCTGCAAAACATGACTTAGTACTTGGTGGCAAAACCCTTGTTGGAAATCACAGAGGTCAGACGTTTCTTGTAGTTGGCCACCAGGTTTGCACACATCTCAGGAGGGATTTTGTTCCACTCCTCTTTGCAGATCTTCTTCAAGTCATTAAGGTTTCGAGGCTGACGTTTGGCAACTCAAACCTTCAGCTCCCTCCACAGATTTTCTATGGGATTAAGGTCTGGAGACTGGCTAGGCCACTCCAGGACCTTAATGTGCTTCTTCTTGAGCCACTCCTTTGTTGCCTTGGCCGTGTGTTTTGGGTCATTGTCATGCTGGAATACCCATCCACGACCCATTTTCAATGCCATGGCTGAGAGAAGGAGGTTCTCACCCAAGATTTGACGGTACATGGCCCCGTCCATCGTCCCTTTGATGCAGTGAAGTTGTCCTGTCCCCTTAGCAGAAAAACACCCCCAAAGCATAATGTTTCCACCTCCATGTATGACGGTGAGGATGGTCTTCTTGGGGTCATAGGCAGCATTCCTCCTCCAAACACAGCGAGTTGAGTTGATGCCAAAGAGCTCCATTTTGGTCTCATCTGACCACAACACTTTCACCCAGTTCTCCTCTGAATCATTCAGATGTTCATTGGCAAACTTCAGACGGCCCTGCATATGTGCTTTCTTGAGCAGGGGGACCTTGCGGGCGCTGCAGGATTTCAGTCCTTCACAGCGTAATGTGTTACCAATTGTTTTCTTGGTGACTATGGTCCCAGCTGCCTTGAGATCATTGACAAGATCCTCCTGTGTAGTTCTGGGCTGATTCCTCACCGTTCTCATGATCATTGTAACTCCACGAGGTGAGATCTTGCATGGAGCCCCAGGCCGAGGGAGATTGACAGTTCTTTTGTGTTTCTTCCATTTGCGAATCATCGCACCAACTGTTGTCACCTTCTCACCAAACTGCTTGGCGATGGTCTTGTAGCCCATTCCAGCCTTGTGTAGGTCTACAATCTTGTCCCTGACATCCTTGGAGAACTCTTTGGTCTTGGCCATGGTGGAGAGTTTGGAATCTGATTGATTGATTGCTTCTGTGGACAGGTGTCTTTTATACAGGTAACAAGCTGAGATTAGGAGCACTCCCTTTAAGAGTGTGCTCCTAATCTCAGCTCGTTACCTGTATAAAAGACACCTGGGAGGCAGAAATCTTTCTGATTGAGAGGGGGTCATATACTTATTTCCATCATAAAAATGCAAATCAATTTATAACATTTTTGACATGCGTTTTTCTGGATTTTGTTGTTGTTATTCTGTCTCTCACTGTTCAAATAAACCTACCATTAAAATTATAGACAGATCATTTCTTTGTCAGTGGGCAAACGTACAAAATCAGCAGGGGATCAAATACTTTTTTCCCTCACTGTATATATATACACACATTTCTAAAATGTCTTTCTTGTTTTTGTTTTGTCGTTATGTGGTATTGTGTGTAGATTGATGAGGGAAAAAAAACAAATGTAATCAATTTTAGAATAAGGCTGTAACGTAACAAAATGTGGAAAAAGTCAAGTGGTCTGAATACTTTCCGAATGCACTGTACATCTGGCTGGTTTTTCTATGCATCGTCAAGACCATATGACAGCGTTGGGTAAGGTTATGGGGGAGGGGTGTGTCTCTTTGTTAACAAAAGCTGGTGTGCAATCTCTAATATTAACTACAGTGGGCTAAATCAGGGTCACACACAGTGTTTCTTGGTAGTCTTAAACAAATCTACTTTGAAACAAAAGTATATACCTCACACACGTGGTTATGGGCTTAAAATAAAGAAAACGCCTGGACCATGTCAGATATAGAGTTGAAATGTATTACATTTTTTGTTTGCAATATTACACTTTATATACATCACAGAAAACTGAAAATATATTTTAAAAAATGTTTGACATAGAAACACCAGATTTTCTGCAGATTTTTAAAAATATTAATAACATTCCACCCATGAGGCCACTAGGTCCTTTGACTGCAGGAAAGGGTTTTAAGGAAGTCTCGAGGTTCTGCTCGCCTGAGTTAGCATACCTCATGATAAGCTGTAGAACATACTATTTACCAAGAGAGTTTTCATCTATATTTTTCATAGCTGTCTATTTACCACCACAAATCGATGCTGCCACTAAGACCACACTCAACAAGCATAGATGGGTTAACTGACAATGTCACGAAAACGATGTGCGCGCTTCCATGGGGCAGAAGTCAGCATGTAGTTGTGATTCTAAATGGCCAGATTTCTAGCAAGAATGACAAGAAACTGCCATGTGGAGAATCGTAAGCAGCTTGTTTCAGCTCATTTAATCTTGTTATTGATACCATGTCTTTGAGGTGTTTTGACTGATATCATGTCAATGCTAATAAGGCAAATAATTTGCTAGCTAACTAACCAACAACTGTAACAATGTATTTGAGAGACAACAAGTGGTCATTGTGCAAATGTATTTATTTTTTCAATAAACAATGTAGACTAAATATAGCTTAAATGTTGTCAACAATCTAAGCCAAACCCGTCTGTTTTGCCCCATAATTGTGCACGCCTCGGTTTTGTTGCTAAACAACCAACCAATCTATAGGGCCATAAGCAAACAAGGAAATGCTCATCCAGAGGCGGTGCTCCTAGTAGCTGGTGATTTTAATGCAGGGAAATTGAAATCTGTTTTGCCTCATTTCTACCAGCATGTCACCTGTGCAAAACTCTAGATCACCTTTACTCCACACACAGAAACACATACGAAGCTCTCCCTCGCCCTCCATTTCGCAAATCTGACCATAACGCTATCCTCCTGATTCAAACAGGAAGTACCAGTGACACACTTAATACGGAAGTGGTCAGATGAAGCGGATGCTAAGCTACAGGACTGTTTTGGTAGCACAGACTGGAATATGTTCTGGGATTCAGCCGATGGCATTGAGGAGTTTACCACATCAGTCACCGGCTTCATTAATAAGTGCATCGACGACATCATCCCCACAGTGACTGTACGTACATACCCCAACCAGAAGCCATGGATTACAGGCAACATCCGCACTGGGGCCGAACTCCCTGCCAACTGCTTGGCATCCGACCGCAAGGTGCTAAAGAGGGTACCAGTACATTACTGGGGCCGAGCTCCCTGCCATAAAGGACCTCTATACCAGGCGGTGTCAGAGGAAGGCCCTAAATATGATCAATGACTTCAGCCACCCAAGTCATAGACTGTTCTCTCTGCTACCGCACGCCAAGCGTCTAAGTCAAGGGTCTTGACGAGTGTAAGGATAATTGATACAGCTTAAGTATATACATGTTTAGCTCACTATATGTGGAGCTATACAATAAATTCCAATACAGGCTGCAAACCTAAACTGACTACACAAAATATATTTAATGTACTCCCACCATTAAGTGATCTTATAGTGAAATGGGAGCATCAATTCAAAAGAACACAAGAGCAAAGAAAATGGGAAATATTGTATAAGACATGCTTTAAAACCAAAGAGCCATTTGGATCACTGTCTTGTGTGGCAATGAGAAACCCTCATCTCCTTCCTGTCAACCGTGGCTGTCTGGGTATCATCCAAATCTCTCACAGCTGAACACAATTCTTTATGATCGCGGGAACACTGGGTGTGATGAGGACAGAGAGGAGAGGACACACACTTACAAAGGAGGCAGGCTGAGGCTGGCTATCTTTCCCATCACATTCCTTAATGATGGCTGTGCTTGCAAATTCCACTTTGGGAGAGATTCCCTGAAGGGACAGTAGAAAACAAAAGCCTTTAACAAGGTGATGGAAACCAAACAAGAAAGGTGACTTCAGATAACACACTGCTTGAAATATAAATGTGCAAACACAACATCTACCATCGTTGCATTCTCAAGAAAACAAAATGGAAGGGAAATGGCTTTGGAGATGTTTAACATATATGACAAAGCCTGTGGAGGAGGCGGTGCACCAACAGGGAAAGAGATGGATCTCCTCATCAGCGTCTCTCTATTGGGACCACCGGCTCTAGGCGATGGCGTCAGCTTGGGGCCTGGTGTTCTCTTCAATAGTGGCCAAAATATCTCCCTTTAAAACCACATAGGAATATATAGCTTAATGCTTTTCTATGTATAGCTATGCTCATTAACACCAGAGAAAAGTCAAGAGAGGATCTGGTTTGGTGAGCCTTTAGTGACGAATTCTGAAAATTGGCACATTCCATTTTTTAACCCATGGTAATGTTGTAAGATTAGTGTACATAGAAGTATAATAGGGAGAATAGTGTACAATAGTAGGATATACCCTCCTCTATTGCCTGCACTGACCATGGAACTGTGTGATGACACAGACAAGTATTGCGCCATGCGTCGGGTTCAAACTTTTAAGGCTTGGTCTGCCCTCTGCTCCATAACGATTTAATTAGCCTACATTTCTTTTTTTATATTATCAATTGTTACTAATGATCCTCAGCAACAACCACATAGCCGTAATGGGATTTACAGAGGAAGCAAATGAAGGTAAACAAAACAATGTAATTAAATGGAATGATAATGTAGGCTATACCAACTGAAGGGAACTAACAGTAAATTGGCAGTTGAATATGTGTTATTATTACGCCTACTGAAGGTCGATATTGATAGTGGCTAATATTTAACATTATAGAAAAAGGAAACAGAGAAATTTGGGGTAGTCCATAATTAAGACATTCAAGAGTGCTCATCCCTGTAAGTTAAAAGGCTGTACAATTAAGTAAAATAAAATTCTGCATATTGGCACAGAATTTCATAAACTTTACTGTGGGAAAGTTGATATGTTGATATTCAGTTTGCTGCCATATTACTGGTTTCACATTTGTCAGCGATTATAAGGTCAAATAGATCTAAAACAAGTGTCATTTATATTTTCAATTCCCTTATCCAAACAGATTACTAATTTACTTAGCTCTTATCAATCACTCTTATCAAGTTGTAAATTCCAGTGCATGGAGAATGCTGTTATTTCTATTAGAAAAAATAAAGTACTTTTAGTTGGGGGGGGCTGAATTTTTGGGGGGCCCGCGCTACAGACAGCGATATCGGTCTGCTAATACAGGACTAATAAAGGCCCAGTCCACTACTTTTGTGAAAAAATATTTCTTTCATTTATTTGATTAAAAACAAAATGTAATTACGCTTTTTCAGGGGGTGCTGCAGCGCCCTCAGCACCCCTACTTCCCGCGGCTATGTAACGTTCCATTTACGGTGCTTAACTCGGGTCGGAATCGGGGCCAAGCTGAATCAGTTCAAAGGATGTTGTGTCAGCTAAGGGAATATAACACAGAGACATACGATGTTTAATATTATGGAATGATATCACAGAAAGGCTCAAAATGAGAAAGATACTACTACCTTCTAGGTCTGCAATGGGACCGGGGTCAGCAGCTCCTGTGAACGTCTTTAGAGAGAGATAAAGAGCATATGAAAGCAAGTTTGAGGATGACAATAAGGTTGTTTTGTCTTCCTCTAAGCAACGTTGTTGGTCGGGGTAAAGAGTGAGGTTTCTATCCTTCTTACCTTCACAAAGACCATCTTCTCATGGAATAAAAGAGGAAATACAGGAGGCAGACAGAAAGTCTTCTTGAACTGTCCCATGATGCAGACACTCAGGCATATGTCTTCCTGATTGGGTAATACAACCTGGACAAGTAATCTGTAATCAAACAAATCAACTGTAGATAGCTAACATTACAAGGCTAATTGCTTGCTTTGTGCAACAAGTTGCTAGGTAGGAGCTACAGAGCTCGCCAGCTTGTAGTTCTATAAGCCGGAAAGAAGTTACCTCTGGTTCGTTCAGCCATCCCTTTGGGAAAAATTAATGGGGAAAGAATTGTGTTTTGGATAAGGTTAACACAGTATTAGGAGACCTTATACGTAATAGCAGTCAGCTAACATGAGTGTTTTATTATTACATAAACTCTGCAAAATTCACAAAAAGTGATGTTAGCTGAAGATTATCTCATAGAACAAAAAGTATTAGATCTTCTAAGCCTGTGTTTACCACAGACCTTATTTTCTGCGTTTATCCAAAAACCCTGCAAAAACGCCATTCGTTTTCCTAATAGGCTTTGTCCAACAAACCATGGCGGAGTTAGTGCCTATAAAAAGAAGCCATTACTATTTATTAGCTAGCTAGAGACAAACCAGAGGAGAACGACTGCCCCCTCGCATTGAGGATTTCAAGTTGAAGGCCGGCCGCGGTACTGCAGGCATTGTTTCCAGAAAACAGGATCCCCCATTATAGTGAATGGGGAAATCTTCGTGGTTCGTGGATATAATAACAAAAATCGAACACAATCATGGTACCAATAATTGCTTCTATTTCACAAGATGTACTTCCTTGAACCGATTACTTTAAAATCACACACAGTCGAAGTTAAAAGGATAATTGAGTTGCTAAAGGCAGCCTGCAGTACCTCGGTCAGCCTTCAATTGTATATACTCAATGAGAGGGGGCAGCAATGAGCTAGCCTGCAACGTCACTTCCTAGAGTAGTTCAAACTGCTCCATGTAGCAAGATGGTGACACGCTGAAATTACACTTTCTGATTTTCAAACGTGCCACTGAGCATTCTCATAGGAAAAAATGGGGTGATGTCATCGATGGCTTCGTCCATTTTTTTTTTACAGTCCATGAGACAAACCCGATAGGCGATATGCACAGGCGAGCATGATGTATTTCCGGTTAAATCTCAGGATGGATGTAAACTTCTGGTTATCGTAGAATGCTGTGCTACCGTATGCTAGCATTGAATGCTTGTCATCAAAAACATCCGAAACGTTTCATTTTCGTTGTTGTTGTTGTTTATCTTAATGTTTATGTTAATGTTTTTACTTGTAATACTTCGTCTTGACTTATAACACGATGACGTGTAAATGTACGAAAGTGTCCTTTCAAAAACGGGATGACAGCTCTTCCAGCCATCACTGTGTGTGCCGCAATGTACCAATGTACAGTGTCTGCCAGATGCTATTCTTCTGTTATTTTTTTTTACTTTTCCCAAAGACAGTGAATTACATAAACGGTGGGTGATTAACATTCGACGAGTCAACTTTCTTACAACAAACACACGAGTCTGCAGCCGAAACTTTCTAAGTGAAGATGTGATAGAGCCTCCGACTCCAGCTGGGCGCAGACGTCTGAAGAAGGGAGCAGTTCCAGTGCTGTTTCAATTGAACAATTTCAGTCTTCCAGCCCCACGGCCCGGAGTTTGGGAAAGGACCAAGCGTCCCAACACAGAAACCATGAATGATCGGTCTGTGGAATTGGACTGTCCTCCTGACCATGACTACTGCAACAGTACTGAACCTGCTGCGCTGGATATGTCCCTTGACCACAATGAAAAACTTAGTGTAGAGATAGCAAGGCTCCAAAATCAAATTGAGGAGATAACTATCAGCAGCAAGTTCTGCTTGGAGCGGTTTGCTGGATCTGATTATGACATAAGGTTTTTCACAAGGTAAATTAAAATGTCCAATGTGTTTAATATATAGGCCTATGTATTTGAGCTTTCAACAATGACTAGTATTATTATCTGTTTAAATGTTGCATGTGTGGTGTGTGTTGTTGTAAGCTACTGGAAACCTTGAATTTCCCTCGGGATGAGTAGAGTATCTATCTAAAACTATCTAGATCTAGGCTATCTACTAGCGCATTAATTGTATTTTAAAATAGTGAGAAGAGCAGTAAGCAAAAGGACTGACATGTGCGTGGTCCAGTTTCTGACCTTAGTGCCAAATGTTCTAAGATGTTGTATAACTGTCAATAAGGATGCTAACATGCTTGCAATTTAATGTTGTGTATAGACACTTAACATATAGAAATGTAACACGTAAGTCCCACAGGTTTGCAAGTCATGCCCACCTGATGGCCTTTTGGAAGCAGATAGAGCCAGCCACCTGCAAGATCATACGGGTGACAAGAGCACGAAGTGTAGCAAAGACTGATGACGTCCCTCACACTGGCAATGCCAATAATCTAGTCCTACTCTCAGCTGGTGTGGTGGCTTTAGTTTCTTCATTGAGCGGTAGCAGTGGGCTCTCACAGAGATCTCATTTGTAGCCCTGTTTTTACCTGATACTTTCATAAAAGTACAAACACATGAAGTGAGAGGTATATACACATGATTAAACTTTATTTAAAGCATGACTAACCTGAAGCAGGACGGAGTCATGACTTAAAACACCAAAGCAAGGCTTCTAGCTCAGGCTAGCTAGCGTTAGCATATTACCTTCAAAGTTGCAAAGAAAAGAAGAAACGTAAAATGTGAAGCCTTTATCCAGTTTGCTACGTGGTGTCGTACTGGATGTCCGGACGACCCTCTGTATATCATTAACAGATACTTTAGGGAACGCCAGCAAACACCTTGTAAACTTCATCTCTGCCATCATAACGGTCTACTGTCACTGTCTAATGTTTTTTTCCGGTAACCGGAAATGCTCAAGCATCCTTACGCTAATGCGGAAGTGATGCGTGCATAGAGCCTATGGGCTGGCAAGCTAGCTATTTCACTTGGGAGTTTACTTTTGTTCACAGTGGGAGCAGTTGGCTGCAAAAGTTTTAGGCTATACTAGTGTATGTAATAGTGTATATTGATGGTTGGAAGATAGATAGCAAGCTAACGTTTGCTAGCTAACATTTGCTAGCTAGCTGAGTGGCAAATATTATTGAGTGGGATATTATTTGCATTATTGATAAAGTAAAAACTTAGTGAGAATAAATAACATATCAGGTTGTACTTATAGTATGCTTACTTATTTTCTTGTGTTCTTCTTATTTTTCTTTCTCTTGTGTTTTCATTCTACCTTATGTTATTTGTAGTATTACATTGTTATTTATTACTGCATTGTTGGATTTAGAGCTTACAAGAAAGGCATTTCACTGTACTTGTGCATTTCAGAGCTTTCTGAGACATTTTGGAGGAGGAAAGCTTCTTTTGAGGTGTCAACCCACCCATTTTCAAACATTGTTGTCATAGCTGCCAAACTAACAGGAAGCAGAGATATTGGTGGTCATGTGACTCTTGAGGGAAAATAAAACTGGAATTCAATCAAATCTGCATTCCATAGTTCAGTGGACGCAACAAAAGTCTAAAACCATTTATTGGGCAGATTGAGAATCAATAGAATTTTCTAAGTTACGATGTCCTGACAATCGATAGACCAGAGTGATCAAATAAGTGGACTTTATATCCCGCCACGCATGTACAGTTGAATTCGGAAGTTTACATACACCTTAGCCAAATACATTTCAACTCAGTTTTTCACAATTCCTGACATTTATTCCTAGTAGAAATTCCCTGTCTTAGGTCAGTTAGGATCACCTCTTTATTTTAAGAATATGAAATGTCAGAATAATAGTAGAGAGAACGATATATTTCAGCTTTTATTTCTTTCATCACATTCCCAGTGGGTCAGAAGTTTACATACACTCAAATAGTATTTGGTAGCATTGCCTTTAAAATGTTTAACTTGGGTCAAACGTGTTGGGTAGCCTTCCACAAGCTTCCCACAATAAGTTGGGTGAATTTTGGTCCATTCCTCCTGACAGAGCTGGTGTAACTGAGTCAGGTTTGTAGGCCTCCTTGCTCGCACACGCTTTTTCAGTTCTGCCCACACATTTTCTATAGGATTGAGGTCAGGGCTTTGTGATGGCCACTCCAATACCTTGACTTTGTTGTCCTTAAGCCATTTTGCCACAACTTTGGAAGTATGCTTGGGGTCATTGTCCATTTGGAAGTCCAATTTGCGATCAAGCTTTAATTTCCTGACTGATGTCTTGAGATGTTGCTTCAATATATCCACATCATTTTTCTTCCTCATGATGCCATCTATTTTGTGAAGTGCACCAGTCCCTCCTGCAGCAAATCACCCCCACAGCATGATGCTGCCACCCCTGTGCTTCCTGGTTGGGATGGTGTTCTTCAGCTTGCAAGCCACCCCCTTTTTCCTCCAAACATAACAATGGTCATTATGGCCAAACAGTTAAATTTTTGTTTAGTCAGACCAGAGGACAATTCTCCAAAAAGTACGATCTTTGTCCCCTTGTGCAGTTGCAAACTGTAGTCTGACTTTTCTATGGCGGTTTTGGAGCAGTGGCTTCTTCCTTGCTGAGCGGCCTTTCAGGTTATGTCGATATAGGACTCGTTTTACTGTGGATATACAGTGGGGGAAAAAAGTATTTAGTCAGCCACCAATTGTGCAAGTTCTCCCACTTAAAAAGATGAGAGAGGCCTGTAATTTTCATCATAGGTACACATCAACTATGACAGACAAATTGAGAAATCACATTGTAGGATTTTTAATGAATTTATTTGCAAATTATGGTGGAAAATAAGTATTTGGTCACCTACAAACAAGCAAGATTTCTGTCTCTCACAGACCTGTAACTTCTTCTTTAAGAGGCTCCTCTGTCCTCCACTCGTTACCTGTATTAATGGCACCTGTTTGAACTTGTTATCAGTATAAAAGACACCTGTCCACAACCTCAAACAGTCACACTCCAAACTCCACTATGGCCAAGACCAAAGAGCTGTCAAAGGACACCAGAAACAAAATTGTAGACCTGCACCAGGCTGGGAAGACTGAATCTGCAATAGGTAAGCAGCTTGGTTTGAAGAAATCAACTGTGGGAGCAATTATTAGGAAATGGAAG